AAAAAAAAAAAAAAAAAAAAAAATTAAAGTCACCTGTATCTGGTGAGTGGTGGTCCTGTATCTTCTACCTGGGACTGTGTGTTCTCAGAACGATGGCTAGGAAAGCAGTTTTGCTATCAGAGGCTTCCTCCCCAAGCTCGGAGAGTTCCTGTTTAAGAGCATTGGAAGACCTGCTGACCCCATTTCTTCCCAGATTTAATTACTCCTTTTGAAAGTTGGCTCTCACCTTAAGAAGATGTTAAATTCAAGGACCCAGGGGGGAATGAAGCTTTAGACCCAAGATAACTATTTCTTTTCCTATTAAACAGCTTGGCAGGGGAATAGTAAGTCCCTTGTTCTGAGACCCTGTCATTTGTTTTGATCATTTTCACTCCTATCAAGTGTGTTGGTAGCTCAGAAGGCAGTCATCTGATATCTGAAATGACTTCTTACATTGTGTCCTTCTCTTTTCTCAGGTAACAAGATAGATATTCAAGCAGACTATGCCTCTTTGCAGGATAAGAGGCTGTAGTGCATGTGGTTGTGGATGGCTGTGATTTAATTACCAAAGGAGAAAAACAGTGGGATGATAATATTGGGTATTGTTTGTTAATGCATTCTTCTGTGCCTATTTATCTTAATTAAACCTAACAATAGCCCCGTGAGTACTTAATGCTTAGTATCCTCCTCCTTTTTTGTGGTTCAGTAATGGGAATTGAACCTGCACTATGCAAGTGTCCTCCTACTGAACTATATCCCTAGCTCTTTAAATTTTTTTTTTAGACAGAAATCTTTCTAAATTGTCCAGAATGGCCTTGAACTTGCAATCCCACTCAATGTTCCAAGTTGCTGGGATAAATTGCAGCTGTATGGCATTGCCCCAAGGCTCTCTCCCTTTCGATGCTGGGAATTGTACACCAAGCCTTGTATATGTGATCTGTCATTGATCTATACCCCAAACCCCTCCTCATTTCACAGGTGGGAAATTTAGGGTATAGAGATACATAAGTTGCCTAGCATGGCAAATAGAAAGTAATTAATCTGAAACTAAAACTTAGAGAACAAGATGTTAGCCAGTACTTCACCCTGTCTCTCAAGTGGTGGATTCTACCTTTCTAAGAAATCTTAATCTGGGTTGGGGATTTAGCTCAGTGGCACCGTGCCTACCTCACAAGTACAAAGTCCTGGGTCCAATCCCTGGTACAAAAAGAAAAAAGAAAAAAAAAAAAGAAATCTTGATCAGATATACCCAAGTTAGAGGATTGCCTCCCTCACTATACCCTAAAACTTTCAGCAAGTATACACCTACTGCCTAAGGCTATGACGATGAGGTGAGGTAAAGACCGTAAAGACCTAAGGTGCTTGGCTCATAGTGTGTAGTAGGTAAACATCAACTGTTATGCCTTAAAAACATGCTGAGTGCTTTCTGTGTATCAGCACCTATGCTAACTTGTGGGCACTTACATGCTGTGCAGTCCATGTCACAAAGACCAGTGGGTTGATAGCACGAGGGCTTGTGTTCTGGATCTTGCCTCCTGAAGAATTTTATTTTTCCTACCCATGCTTTAAAACTTTGTTTGTTCCGCATATCAAAAAATTAGTAGGTTTTCATGAAGGTGTGGATTTCCAGTTTCTCTGTAATGCGCTTTGTCATGTGGGAATATAGGCCACGGTCCTAACCACTGTTGATTCTGTCTTACATCTTAAAAGCCAATGCAGCAGATGCCATTCATTGTTGTAGTTACACTGTTCTTCTTACAATAAAGAGGAGTGTGAAATGTTTTGTGCACCTAGGATGCTTTCAAAAGAGAAGAAAAGAGAAAGGAAATCCCATGATTTAAGAAAAGCAGAGTTTTTGTTTCTATTTTAAAGTTACAGTTATTTTCATGGCTGACCTTCTTTCTTTATTTTTGTCTTCCTGGGCTCCTTATGCTCTTGAGTTTGCAACCTCTTATTAAAAGGGGCTCCGAGGTGGCAGCGGCAGCAGCTTCTGTCTTCTCTTTGATCTATGGACCTGCTCTGATCTATTGAACTTCCTGCGCACTCCTCTTTCCAGGGGAGTAATGTCTCTAGAGATCTCATCACTGGCAGAGAAAAAAAATTGACTGAACCCAGTCAATGACCAAGCCCTTCTGGATCCATAGACAACACCAGCTGCACTCATATCTCTGGGTTCTCCCTGCCTCACCAGACACACATATAGCTTGGAGACCACTCTTCAAAATGTCATCAACGCAGACTCCTAATATCAGGAACACTCACGACTCAGTTGCATAGCAAAAATAATGTCATGTCATTCTTTCAAGTGAGGGACTGGAAATATTTTTGTTTTAAAATGAAAGAAGTTAGACACAGTGTGGCACATGGAATTTATGCCCCCGCCCCCAAGAAGCCACTCCTAAATGCCTATTCCTGACAAAGGCAAGTTTACATTCTTTCCGGGGAAAACTGGGCATGATGGCACACATTTATAATCCCAACACCCTGGGAGCCTGAGGCAGAGAATTACAAGTTTGAGGTTAGCCTGGGCACTAGGCAAT